CCTTAGACACTTACTAGCTGTGTGAGCCCGGGAAAGTCACCTAACCTTGTTTGCCTCAGTTTCTTCATCTGTTAAATGAGTTGGAGAAGGAAATGGCAAACTACTCCAGTATCTTTGCCAAGAAGACCCCAAATTGAGTCAGGAATAGTTCGTCATGACCAAAAAGACTGAACAACAGCAACGATCTATAGTTTGTTGATTTCCAAGGTGTTTATGCTTATACTGAAAATTTAATAATTGACCTCCCAAGACTATTCCAGCTGGCCTCAGCACGCCCCTGAGAAGCTTTCTAATACACCCTCCATGATTATCAGTTGATAGCAGTTTATCAGCTAGACTTAAATAGCACTTAGAAAGGCAGATTCTACTAAGGTACTATAGGAAGAACTGTAAACCACCATCCCCCTCAACTCCTCCCTGCCCTTCTACATTCAGTCTGTGATACATCCTCCTATCAGTACATATAAAACCCAGAGAAAAGTTGGCTTAAATTTAGGGACTACATGTGGCCAAAGGTAATTCACAGATTCTAGTGACTGAAGTCTTTTTCCCCTTCCTGAGGTTCCCCACAGGGATGGTGAAGTTTTTAATCTGGGCTTCCTCTTGGGGTTCTGAAGCTGCCATCCTTCAGTGTGTCCAGTTTGTCCTAGGTTCCTGGTGCAGAAACTGCTGACATCTGCTGTCCCAGGGAGAGGCTTCCAAATCCTCCCCCTCTAAAGTTTGAAAGGGGAAAAGGGAGAAGACAGAGATTGAGGCCGATTTTTGTCTCAGTGGTTTATCTGGGATAGCTTCCACCACTAAGCAGTTAGGAGCAGGAATTTTTTTGAATTACCTTGCTAATTTTATATAAAACCTACAGGGTGGGGCAGCTAGGTGGCACAGTGAATAGAGCACTGGCCCTGGAGTCCTGAGAACCTGAGTTCAAATCCAGCCTCAGACACTTGATACTTACTAGCTGTGTGACCCATATTGCCTAGCCAAAAAAACAAACAACAACAACAACAAAAAAACCAAACAAAAAAACAACAAAAAAAACAAAACAAAAAAAAACCTACAGGGTGTACCAAGTCTCCCTCAACTAATTAGAACAGGCTTTCTGTCACCCCTTGCTGACATGCCTTTGATTAGTTGATTTAGTGGAGATAAGTAGGCCTTGTTCACATCTATTCACCTTTTTGATTTACTGACTCATTGGAGGTGTTCATCCCTGACAAAGGTATTAGGGGATAGCATCTTGTTAGTTACTTTAAGTATGTGTGAGGATTTAGCAGATTAACAAAGTCATCCCCTACCCTAACACATATAAAGTATTTTACAAACCTTAAGTCACTATATAAATGAAAATTGTTAGCATTATTCCAGCATGGTAGAACCCTGCTAAGGCTTATGCTCAGTTATGAAGACTTTCAAGAACCCCCAGAGTCGTGCCACCACCACAACAAGGCATCAGAATAGGGCTTAAACTACACCAGTTTCTTTCCAACTTATTTCATACTATACTTCTTTATGTACTCTTCCAGTCAGAGATGGACTACTGGCTATTCTAGTATTATCTGGTATCTAGTTATTATCTGGCCTCCTACCATTTGCGTGCATTCAGCTGCCCCCCTAGGCTTGGAAGATCTCCCTGTAATCTCTTCTTATTGATATCTTTCCCAGACCCAGAACAAGGGTTCTCCAAGTGTCTTCTCTGATTCCTTCAATTAGAAGTTATACTACCCTCCTTGAATTTTTAATAGATCTTTTGTGTTCTAATTATTCGTACAGAGGTCTGATTCCATCTTGTTTGACCCTAAACTTCAGGCAGGCAGGGAGTATGACTTTTTTCATTGTTGCACCGGTCCATGGCCACCCAGTGCCAATTACTGGGCCTCATGCACAGTAGGAGCTTAATCAATGTTTTCTGATAGTTGAGCCCCAGGGCTACAATTTTGAAGACACGCTGCCTCCTTGTGGTTGTTTATAATACATCCTCCCTTGTTGGATGACAGCTTTTCTAATTATCCAGAAGTGGATCCACATCCCCTGAAAGTCTTGTTCAGGCTATGTAAGAACGAGGAAAAGTGGAGGGAGAGAGCTCAGGGCCTCTTCAGGCCCTTATCCTGCCCATAACCCTATTCCAGTCACCGTAACCATTCACGAACAATGAATGCTCCCATTCTGGTCTCCACATCCTTGGACCAAGTAAGTGTCCTGATCATAGAGAATCCTAGAGCCTGAAGGGCCAGGGAACTGGCTAGCTAGGACCTCAGAACACAAAATCTCTCTCCTTAGCTTTAATCTTCCATTTCCAACCGCTGTCTACACATCCTCACCTAGATTGCCTTTGGTACTGAGAATTCTACCTAGCCTAAATCAAACTCATCATTGTGTTCCCCTCTAAGCCCAACGCTCCTGCCAATTTCTCCTCCAGATTCTGTTAACAATGCTGCCTAATCACGTTGGCTCAAAACCTTGGAATGACTTCTGACTCTTCCCTCTTCCTCTTCCCTCATATCTATCCCTCAATGCCTTCACAGTCACTCTTGCAACTGTCCCCCTTTTTCCCCACTCACATGGCCACCACTGTGGTTTGGGCCCTAATCACCTCTGGCTTGTAGTATAGCAATAATTTTTAAAAATAGATCTTTCTTCAGTCTCTCTGATTTCCCATTTGTCCTTTACAAGCCTACCTGAATAATATTCCTAAGGCACAACTTATGTCACTTCCCTCTCAAAACCTTCAGTGGCACCCTGTTGCCTTTGAGATAAAAATATAAACTCCTTAGCCTGACAATTAAGGCCTTCCACAATCTAGTCCTAATATACCTTTTTAACTTCATTTCACAGTACCTCCTTCACCCACTCTCTGTATCAGTACAGGCATCCCTCCTATCCCTTCCCATTTGAGTCTTGAAATTCTTCTTTTCTTGTAGCAGCTCTTTTTGTAGTAACAAATGAACTGGAAACTAAGAGGTTGTCCGTCAGTTGGTAAGTGACTGGATAAATTTTGATATATGAATATAATAGAATACTATAGGGCCATTAGAAGTGATGAAAAGGATAGTTTTAGGGAAACCTGGGAAGATGTGTTGGAAATGATGCAGAGTAAAGTGAATAGAACCAAGAAAACAACTTATACAACAATAACATTGTAAAGATAGCTGAGAAATGCAATGATCAACCAATGTTTCAGAGAACTGATGATGAAGAATGTTATCTACCTATTGCCAGAGTGATGATGGACTCACTATACAGAACTAGACATACATTTTCCCTTCAAGGCAATCAGGTTAAGTGACTTGCCCAGGGTCACACAGCTAGTAAGAGTCTAGTGTCTGAGGCTGGATTTGAACTCAGGTTCTCTGGACTCCAGGGCAGGTGCTCTATCCACTGAACCACCTAGATGCCCCTGGACATAAATTTTGGGACATAGCCAATGTAGGAATTTATTTTCGCTTGATTCAATTCAATTCAATAAACACTCATTAGCTGCCTACTAAGTGCCTGTGCTAAACACTAGAGGCACAAATAAGAAAAGAGAAAGTCTGTTCCTGCCCTCAAGGGGTAAGTGACAAAGTAATCAGGGAAGACAAGAAGAGATTAAGGGAGAGGGGAAAGGGTGCTTAATTATGAGGATGCACAAGGTTTGTTTGTTTTTTTTTTTTGTTTGTTTGTTTTCCCCCCAGTGGAGTGCTGTGAGAGGGACAGAACATAAATGCTAGTTAATTAAACATAATTAAATTGTTGAAAAAAAAAGAAATTTTCTCTTTATTTTTGATTCACCTTAGGTATCACCTCCTCCATGAAGCCTTCCTTCTAGCTTGAAAATGATTGCTCCCTCCTCGAATTTTGCTAGAGAACTTCGATTGAATTTTTCCTTTGTCCCAATTATATTCTACTTTACAGGATCACAGATTTAGAACTAATCTTATATTACAGGTCCAATCTCCTTATATTACAGGTGAGGAAACTGAGCCAGGAGAGCTTAAATAACTTGAACAGGGTTAAATTTATTTGCATACATTTCTCATATCTCTGAAGCAACATGGTACAATGGAAAGTCAAAGACCTGTGCTGAAGCGTTGCTGCCTCTGCCACTGTGTGACCTTGGGCAAATCACTTAATCTCTCTGGGCCTCAGTTTCCTCATTTATAAAATGAGATTTGACTACATGGCCTTTAAATCTTTTTTTAACTCCCAACTGTGGACTTATATTCTTATGGGTGGGTACCATATCATTTTTTCATCTTTTATATCCACAATGTCCAGCATGGCTACTGCCTAGCCTGTTGTAATAGGCTTTAATAAAAATCGAATGAGTGGAACTTCTCCCAATACATTGGATTTTTTATTTTGGCCCCTGTAACAATAGGCTAAGGAAGAGAGAAAACAAAGTAAAAGCTACCACGTTGACTAAATTACAAAAGCCTTTCCTCTTTGGGCTTTTTGTAGGGCTTTTTTTATTTAGATTTTGTCACACCTCTTTTGAAAACAGCCAGGATGTTTACCATATAACAAAGATTACAGGCTTCCATCAAAAACCAAAACCAAAAACAAACAACCCAACTACAACAACAAAAAACAAAAATAAAACTTTCATATTGAATGAATAGAAGGTCAGCAGCTAAAATGTCACGGTTAAGAGACACTTCCGAGACACTTCAGTCTAGGCCCCTCATTTTCAGAGGGGAATACTCAAACAGGTGCAGTCGCCAGCTATTTCCAGCTCTCAGCCCAGGCCTCTCCCCAAGTCTGGCGAAGGTTCTATCTCAACCCCGCCCCGCCCCGCCCCGCCCCGCCCCGCCCCGCCCCGCCCCGCC